CCTGGTCGAAAGTCCATGTTTGTTTGACCGATCCAAATTATTATTTTTGTTTAGTGTTATATTCTTGCTGGATCAGTGATTAGTTACACCAGCTGAGCCAATGTGGAGCCAATACTGATATTTCTGACATATTTAAATTACTCTATTTTCCCAAGTTAATGTCAAAATTCAACCCTCACAACCAGGTGAGTCACGTTTCCTAAATTAGTGCACCTACTGGTAAACGACAGTGACGTCATACATGACTGTCAGCGGTCTCAGTTTTAAACACGTGGGTAACGTGGTCAAAGGGTCGCAGGTAAGATAAGTCTGTAGCAGAGCAGATATTCTTAAATATATTTCAAAATAACGTGTCTCAAAGCGAAGTCTCTGCAGGTGAGAAACTCACGCTGCTATTTGAGAATTTACAGCTTCATTCAAAATCACATCAGAACCTCATACCTCCAGTCTCTCTCAGAAAAAGCCAAAAACCTTTTGCTGCAAGTGAAACAGCGTCCACACAGACTGCAGCCTTTCATGGTCAGACCGACAGTTTTCTTACAGTAACAAACCCATAACGTGACTCCGTGACTCGGCTCCTCGGTACAGTGCAAAACATCACAGCAACATGCAGTGTCAGTGTGTCCCAGAGAGGAACCCGAAGGACAAAAACAGTGTTTAAGCATCATTCACAAAGACGGAGAAGTGTTTCAATGTCAGAGTTCACCACAGAAATACATTGTCAGGCACTTAAAGACCCACAAATACCACAGACACACCGAGATCACTGCTACGAGAGCATGCAGGTGATGATGAGTGAGAGCGGAGCAGGTGGGATGTCAGAGTGTTTGGATGCTCAACACACTGCAGGCGGGCTGTACACGCTCACTTTCCTACCCCGGCTCTTTGGTCACACTCTAAAGCAGTGAAATGATGATGGTTATCTGACAGAGGAAGAGGACCAGAGATGAAGGATTATGGATCAGGACAGATGTGTCACAGGCAGCGCTGCAACGTTTCACTCTGCTGAGAAGAAAGACTTCCTCATGCCATAAAACACTGAGGGAGATTACAGTTTCTCAAGTTTATATTTCCATCTTTGGCACAAAAACATACTGATGAGGAAGAGGGAGCCCTTCATGACCTCATTACGGCAGCTGGCAGTGACTTTGGTCTGACAGACTGCCACCGACACTCTGACTCATCACAAAGGAAGAGTTAGGAAAGTGAGACGCACGTAGGAGTAAAAACGCAATCACATCCAGCGTGTCGTCTGCTCTCAGCAGAGCGGCTGTGGTGAAACGTTTGCTAACCGTGATGGGAGGAACTAATGGAGGAGGAGGAGTAGAGCGAAGCTGTATGAGCCACACATTTGTCTTTGTAGTGACACTTTAATGAGTTACCTGGTGGACAGTCAGCCAAAGGCAGCGGGACCTGAGCCCAGCAGGGAGCAGAGTGTGGTGTGAGGGATGAGAGGAAAGTTACAAAACAGGAAACGAGTTCAACGACAGCGTGGACTCAACTGGACGAAGCACAGAAGAGATTGTGAACGGTGACAAAACAGCACAAGCACAATTTTTTTCAACAAATAAAAAAATGCTTATAAAAGGTAGTGAAACTCAGAGTACAACCTTGCGATGCTTGTTAAAGGCCCAATCTGTAATTGTTTTGTGAATTACAACTAAATCTACGTTGCTTGAAGACTTTGCCTGGAGCATGTTCACACAGTCGCTTTAATGATGATGATTGGAAATTGATTTCTAGCCCAGTTTTTAGGGATGCACGATAATATCAGCACATCGTTGGTAGCAGCCAACACCAGCTTTAAAATGAACTGTCTGCAAAATTATAAAAAGTAGAAACTCTACATGTTCTGTAACAGAGTGAAAACTCATCTGTCCAGGCTGCACCTCGCCCCATGAAGATAAGTTTTTTTCAACCTCTAGGTAAGCACAATGATATCGGCACACCATCTGTATCTGAATCTGCCAACATGCTTTTTCTTATTTTGCACAATGAATGAATGTTACACACATTGAAAAGTATTTTCTGTCTCCATCTGCTGGTGAGCTGTCATGGACGAGCAAAATGAGCAAAGATGGAAAACACTGAAAGGCTGAAAACAAGCAATTAATTTATCATATATGAGGATAAATATAATTAATTTTTGTTTATTAATCAGTCGCTGGTCTCTGTTATTTTGAGAAAGTGGCCCCCGGGCGGAGCAGGCTGAATAATATTCCTCACCTTAAGGCGTACAGGAAGTCAAAAACCAACCTCATTTACCTCCCTGTGACCCCACCTGTTTTCTTTTTAGGGGTTTTGGACTATTTTGGATTTAAAATGGCGATTTTGGCCGAATGCTGAAAAGTTTGCACCTCTGGATATCACCAGAGTCTGCAGAGCATTTTAGCATCTTTTAATTCCTTGTTTTGCTTTTGCAGCCCTGCAACTTTGCTTCAGTCGCACTGCTCCGATTAACCAGCTGCTTTCAGCGTAGTCCTGATACACCAAGTTTAAACTGCACCAAACAAGGGCGGTCAAAGTTAGTGACTAGCTGCTGAACATAGACTTTGAGCTGTCGCAGCAGAGCGGGCGCCATCTTGCCATCGCCTTCATCGTGTGACTCAGAGGAGCATTTAGCAACTAAAGTGCCAGACATTTTTCTCAGGAGTTGGTGGAGACCAAAACAAAGCTAAAAGGAGAGTGAATGTTGGACTCACGTTAGTCGAGTCACCACAAACACAATTAACTATTTTATAAGGTGACAATATGTCAGTTTTGGAAAATGTTCTGCTGCCCCCAAGTGGCCAGAAAAAGACTCAGTTAATGCAGCTTTAAATGAGGCCGTTGTCTCATGTTCCTACTGTAACACTTGAAACCCGAACTACACTTTAACACAGCCAGGTGCCATGTTTTTAAGGTACCTGAATTATTTTTAAAAAGGGGTGTTCTTTCTAAAAATGACCACAGTGACTAAAAAGATGAGTTGAATCTATTCATAAATATATTTTACATCATCATCATATTCAGTGGTGGCATCCTGTGGGTGGTAACATGTTAAAACTGATAAATTTCACAGCAGATTCAAATTCTCTTTGTGTCTTAATTTAAATCACAGAATGAGCCTTTAAGCAACAATCAAACATCGTCAGCACAACAGACAAACACAAATGCAGAAAACATCAAGTGATAACCAGGTAACAAAATATTTATAGGCAATAGGATGATGGAAATTATCCAACTGTGACGACACCCTGCCATCCTGCCTCTTACACTATTTCAAGTTTCCCATTTTGTCATTAGAGTAGTACTTGCATAACAACGAGAGGCGTCAGCTGAGCTCCATGTCGGCAGCCCCGAGCTTCCTGCCATCAGAAACCACCATGAGAAAAAAGCCAAGAGCCAGAAGGCAACGACAGAAGACAAATGAAGAGAAATGCTGACGACCTGGAGCTGCGTCTACAACCAGAGAAACACAGAGCGATGAAACAGGAAGTGGAATTATGATGCTGTGAGTGTGGAGAGGGAGGACGCTGATGTGATGGGAGAGGCAGAGATCCCTGCATCGTCCTTATTACAACATAGTACTTTGTTTTCTATAGAGAGGCACATAGAAGGCTTGCAAGTTACAGTTTCAAAGCATTTACGTGTTTGAGCCAAGACGAACACGACAGGAACATAGAAAGCCCACACGAACACACAAGAGAAGTCTCTGATGGGGCGCTCAAGTTTTCAGAGGGAAAACAGCAGTTGTAATAAATAAAGAGAAACTGCAGTAAATATGTCTGGGGAAAAAACCTGGATCTAAATAATAACAATAATAATTAATATAATATTAATAATAATAATAATATCCAGTTCTTTTCATGTTGAACATGGAGTGGAGAGGGATGTGATTGGCTCAGTACAGACAACAAGGAGAATATGGGCAATCTTCTCCCACAACTGACCACAATGTCAACATACACACACACACACACACACACACACACACACACACACACACACACACACACACACCTCAATTAAAAATGTGTCCAGTAGGGCTGCACGGTTCGTCGGATTGAAATTGCAGTTTTGTTTACGTGTGCAGTCTCATTACGCTCGTGTTTCTGCATTAGCAGGACGTCTGCTGCACCTAACTAAGAGCTTCTAACGTTCCCTAAAGTTGCACTGTTGCAGAAAAAGTCCCGCATGTGACGTTTTGGTTCGTGGACGATCATCAGGCAAACAGTTCTGTGACAAAGAGCAGCTGCGAGTTCTCATTTATAAACACTGCGTACGCACAAAACGAGGCCTTCAAGAGGCGTACGCCACTTCCCACGCAAAAGCTGTGATCTATAAAAACAGACTTGATGGGAGAAACTTTGACCCGTGCTTACAAACATTTTGGAGACGGAAAATTGGCGACGCAGATGATGAGGTGGAGCCTGACTGTAGAAACTGACAAATATTTTTTGACGTACGCCATTTTTGGCTTTTGTCCATACGTATTTTTTGAGTATGGATCCTACGCAGTGTTTATAAATGACACCCCTGGTGACTGAATAAAACAGCGTGCCAGAGTTTTTCTACAGGTTGTGTTCTGCTCGTCCTTCTCCTACACACCTGTTTGGAAATAGAGGTGCAAAGTATTCTTTTGTCCTAAAGTTGCACCCACAACATGAGATAGAGGCACAACAAAGCTCTTGTTCTCCGCACATCTGTAACTATTAATTTGAACCACTGACTGTGTAAAATAATGGACGTAGCCACTGTGACGTCACCCACTGGTTTGTGGTGACCTCTGAAGCTTTGAGTTCGACATTTTAGTCGTCACCATCTTGGTTATTTGGAGCTAGAAGTGACCATTTCTGGATGAGAGGGTGGAGCTGTGGAGGAGCCTTAACGCACTCTTAACAGGTGAGTTATATGAAAATTCACTGTGCAGTTGTCATGAATGTTGTAATTAGCTACAGAGACCTGTTTATTTCTGTTGTAATGTTGGACATTTTAACTTTGAGGTCTGTGGGGACTGACTCGCTCTTGGAGCCAGCCTCAAGTGGACATTAGAGGAACTGCAGTTTTTGGCACTTTTCGTGCTGACTTCATTTTTCTTTAGCTTCAGAGGTCACTGCTTGGTCTCATCCATCTTTATGACGGCAGGGTTTTCGTCCCGACTGTGAGTGTCGTTTTTTGTTTGAAAGAGCTGTAAACACTCGGCGGATGACATCATACCCTGGCCTAACGGGCGTGCTCACACCACAGAGTGACACAGCACGATTTATTTGGGTCTCCTCATGACAACAGTCTACACTTTGTTCTTCCTGGTTCTCTCCATTCGTATGAGGGTCGGTGCCATCAAACCAGTTTGCAAATGGGTCCATGGCACACATGTGCATATTTAAAGGTACACACTGCAGGATTGTCTGTTACGGTTTGTAAACACGATCGCCAGTGAAAGTAAAAGTAAAAGCCAACACCAGACTCATTTGGCGTTTCGCCTCGCGATATGCGCATTTCTGTGTGTCTCTTGGAGCCCTGCTGCTTACGGTCTGGCACCTACTCCCTACCCTTTTATAGAACCCAGACCTCACCTGAGCGCCCATTAACGTCCTGAATGTGAATCTGCATTTCCTTATATAGCACAGGCATGACCTGCCTCACTCTCCCTCTGATTGGCTAGTTGGTGCTCGTTGCCTTCATTGGTTGGGTGGTTGGCAAGAGGAATGGGACTGGTTTAAGTATGAACATGACGGTAAGCCAATCACATGCAAAGCAAGGCAGAGTAGGGCAGGTCACGCTTTCACCATCCTAGGAAATGCAAATTCGCCAACACAGCGCCTCACACTGACAGTGAGTCACAAGTGATGACTGAGAGCGATTAACTCGGGTGCTGGTGTGACCGAGTCTTAAAGGGACAACACAGCTCCGTTTACAGCACGCTTGACGTCTGCAGTGGTAGACGTGTTCATGTGTGTTGCAGAATTCGCTCCGTACATATATTTACAAATTTTAAGTTGCGTGTCGATGGTCCACACAGACTCTCACAGACGTGTGAACACAGAAAGTATCGTTTGAAACTTCGCACAGTGACAAATGTCGCTCTGTATGAACTCAACCAAATCATTGTTATTGTAAGAGTTAGAGATGGGAATCAAAATCTGAGTCCAGTTAAAAACCAGTTCTAAATCGTCCGATCCTTCGGAGAGGTATGTCTCCAAACTTAATTCCTTTTATCTATGCTGGCATGTTTTTCTGACAGATGCTGAAAATCTGTGTAGGCCTATTTTTTATGCAGAAAACTGATCAGAAATCATGAAGTGTAACGATAACGGCATCATTAAATTTCATCAGTTCCCATCCCTAGTTAGGATCAAGGAAACGTTAGCGAGTATTCGCAACTTAAACTACCACAACACCAATTTCAAAGCTACGGAAACTATCAGACTGAACTGATTTTGGGAAGAAATTTTGCTCTTGAACCGTGTTTCAACGGACGTCAATACAGTAACAAAAATAATGTCTGACAAAAACAACCGCAAAGGATACAGAACAGGAGTCAGAATCAAGGAAATTAATGTCTACAACCCGAGTTCTGCAAAAACTTTACGAAGGTTTGGAAAAACCTCAGGAAGGAACGGCTGAGAGACGGTTTCAGATTTCAACACGATGAGCACATGCATGTGCTGAACAGGACAAAATACAAACTACTGCATTGAAACGCTACGACCAAGAAGGACATGAAGGTACCCCAGTGACCTGACACCTGCCGCTTTGCCATAAAACACATAAACAACAGCAGCGTCACTGTAACTGATGACATCACAGGCACGATGAGACTGCAGAGGAAACATTTCATCAAACAGAGAAAATCATCTCGACTCTGAGCGCAACAATCACAACTCTAATCCCAAACCGGTGCAGCCCTACAAACACACACATATCATGCACCAGCTCACACACACATACACACACACACACACACTGACACACACACTCACAGGCAGCCAGAGCCCAAAACGTGTAGTAGACCTCTGCTGTCATCAAGAGAGAGGAGAGCAGTTGAAGTGCAGTACCTATGTGTGGCCACCAGGAGGGCCTTAAATCTGCAGGTCTCTACAACTGCTCCTCATCTGAGCCTGTGTCACCCGCAGATATATTCTGTACATGCAGTCAATTAATAAACCGATGCAACACTTTGCTTTGAGTATACAAACATTTAGATTATACATAGATAGCATTATATCATTCATCTTTTTATATAATCTGCATCTCTTTTCACTTCTGTTTTTCAGCAAAAAGAAAAAAACAAAACAACCTCGAGTGTGACCGCGACGAGGCCGAACTCCTCACGGTCGCTCACTAACAACGTTTGAGTAGTAGGCGGTGCACAGAGGAGGGACACATCTAACCAAAGAGGGAGTTTTTGCATACAGACATCTTAAATTATGTGTGAGGCACCCGTCTCCCCCACCCCTCCGTGTCAGGTCATGTACAGAGGACATGGAGGCCAGGTGGGGGCGGGGACAGACTCCTCGCTCTGCTCCGTCAGCGTCTCCTCTGGACTCCTTCTGGAGGGAGGGGTGAGAGTAGGCAGGGGGGAGTCCTGCAGGTAACTGGGGGGCTGCGATTGGTGCTTCTTGTTAGTTTGTTGTATTTTTTCTCTTCATGACAGATCTCCCCTCCCTCCTGTGCAAGTGCGGCGACTCAGTCCCCCAAGATGACTTTCACAAAGCTAGCCACGTCGGTTTCTTTGGCCTCATGGGAGGTGAAGAAGGGATGTTGCTGAGGAGGAGAGGACAAGGAGTCAGCCTGAGGTCAGGAGAATATCAGCTGTGTGTCTAATGATGCACTGAAGCACCTCCAGCAGCATCTACTCATATGTGAGGGACTGTCAGCCATATATAAGCTATGGTCTTAGTGCGCCCTCCAGTGTCTGATTAACAGCATTACAACATACATGCTGTGCATCGTTCAAACTGTAGAAAAATGTTTTTTTTTGTTTTTTTTTTTAATATTTCATATTCTTATTACTATATTTTATTTTTATATATTTCTTAATTTTTATATATATCTCTCTATATTTAAAAAATATATATATAAAAATTAAAAAAATATATATTTCTATCTTTTTTTCATATTTTATATAGAAACATACAAATATAAGTATAACAAATAAAAATATTTAAAATATACAAAAATAGAAATTCATCATCATTTTTATATATTTTTTATATATTTTTTATATTTTGATATTTTTTATATATTTTTTTAAAATATATATAAAAAATAAAGAAATTAAAATATAAAATATTTTATATTTCTATCTTTTTTCATATTTTATATAGAAACATACAATGTATAACAAATAAAAATATTTAAAATATACAAAAATAGAAATTCATCATCATTTTTATATATTTTTTATATATATATTTTTTATATTTTATATATATTTTTAATTAAAAAATATATATATTATTAGATTCATAGGTGTAGATTTCAAGGGGGGCACATGGGACACAGCCCCCCTCAACATTTAGACCATGTGCATAAAAATATAAAAGTAGCAGAGGACCTTTTTTTTGACATTATCAAAGACATTTACACCATAGATTGATGCAGAAAATGTACAAACTGGTGCATAAAAAGTTCACTAGAATGCAGGAAGTGTCTGACACTAAAGCTTTTTAGTGAAGGACCTCAAACCCCTCCATGTTATATGTCTTCTGCCCAACGTTGAAAGGAAACTTTTGCCCTTGTTTGGAATACATAATAATATTGATACTAGTTCCTCTTTTAGCTCATAAAGCTGGAGCAAATTTTTTTGTATTTTTTAATGGTTGATTGCAAGCAGACAATAAAATATCATATTTAAAACAAAAAAAGGACAACACTCACCATGAGTTCTGTGTAAGTCGGCCGCTCTTTGGAAACTTTCTTTAAGCTGCAGACGGAAAAATCAACATCAGTTCATGACAGTTCATGTGTTAGTTTTTTTTGTTTGTTTGTTTGTTTTTTTTTAATTTTTTAATCCATCATCCTAAAATACATTGTCACTCACAGAACCCTCTCACACTGATTCAGATGCGTTTTATCGTTCTATTCGATGCAAAATTTCGCCGTACGTGAAAAAATGAAAAGACACATTTCCTGCGTTGCCTCGCTCCACTAGAGTCACCTATCTGACTGACATCACTTCCTCCCTGTCTTTCATTTGGCACCACAGCTGCATGAGGGGGCGGAGCTGTGTGTGGTCCACATCCTCCTCCTCTTCATCATCATCATCCACCTGAATATGACTATCTGACCTGCTGACAGTAGCTGTCTGAGTTATGACATGATTCTGTTCCTCTGTCTTGTGGCAGCTGTGTCCCGCCGCCACATTTTCATCACTGATTCTTGGTCAAATGTCTCTAACGGCTCTGACGGATACGAAAAACACAGAAAAATGAACCTGCTCCGAAAACTTAAATGACGGAAGAAAGTTGTGCGAACGTGACTGACACAACGTGAGATTGTATTGGACAATAAAAATGGACTCCGTGTGCAGAGGCCTTAAATCTAACCACAGTTCAACCACAGCGCTTGTGAAACGTAAAGTTTCAAGGTACCTGCTAAGAACGTACAAATGTAATGTATCCACGGTTTGCAGAAATGTAAACTGAAAATGGAAACTTTAAGGTTTTGAGAACAATAATTTCAAGTGTTTCAGGTTTCTGTATTTACAGTTTCACTCTCCTTCATGTCGGCAGCTGGACTCATGAGATCAATCAAGAATGAAGTCTTGATTTGCTTCAGTCTGCGTCTCAGTTACCAGTGGACACATTTTACTGTCCCAAAGTGAAATACTGTCATATCGCCCGACCCTAATGCTGTAACGTTTAACTCACAACAATGCCAACGTGTCTTTAACCATGCTGACGGGACAAAAGAACTCGTCACAGGATGAATACCTGCGTGGGTAAGCAAGCAGCTCTGCCACTTCAGTTCAAATCAAAAGCAAGAACTGGAAAATTAAACCTGACGTTAGGGACATTTGTCAGTTTGAGCTTCTCAAATCGAAGGATTTGCCGTTTCTCTCTGTTTTATTCTAAAGTCCAGATGAAGTGACATTTTGAGTCTCTAGCTTCAGTATCATGACATATTTCCAAATGAAACAGGAAAGGCAGGGGGAAGTAATGTTGGGAGGAGTTTGATTTGATGGTTGAAAAGTGGGCGTGCAGTAACAGCTGATGGGACGGTGGTAGAGATGAAATCCATCGTGGCCTCCATGTGACGGTGCAGAAGCAGTTCACTGTTAAATGCCTTGTTCATAATCTGGAGCTGAACTGAGACGGCTCAAATTTTAATCAATTTATGTTATAGTACAGCGTCACTGTGTCGATGGTGAGATGCTCAGATATATTCCCTGTGCAGACGCCTGACACTGTACATCCTGTCAGAACATCAACAAAAGAACAACATAATGAACTCAATCTGACGAAGGGGAAATTAACTGAAGCCCACTCAGCGCGCATCGACACACATTTCTATCTGCTTTACTGTAGAGACTCTGCTGGCTCGACGCCTGCGCAGATCAGTCTTGAGTGGGTTATTGTGTGGAAGGGAAAACAGAAGACAATCAGAAATGTGGAACTGAATGTTTTTCTGGCTGGTAAAATAAAATGAGAGTGAACAACAGACAGACAGAGAGAGACAGAGACAGAGAGAGAGAGAGAGACAGAGAGAGAGAGACGTACCACAGAGAGCTGAAGTCCACAAACTCGGGGGAGAACTGTTCGGCAGGAAGCTGGGGCGAAGGTTCTTCCACCACCTGCTTCAGCTGCTGGAAGGGCGTCCCCCATGAGTCGTACGGGAAGCGCAGGATGGCGAGCTCGATCTGAAACAGAGGTCACTCCGACACTGAGAACATGAACCGTGCATGACAGGTCTGGTTTGTCATCACACTTGACACCATCCAGGTTTCTGATCTCACATGCAGACGTGTCTTTGACTCTCTGACATCAGCCACACTGTTGTCTCTGTATTTCTGATCTTCTTCTAATTAAGTGTCAATGTTTTTAACTATAATCTACACTTTAACATGTTTCTCACTCTGTGTTTCTACGTTTAGTGATCATATATTCTTGTTTGTTGTCTGTGTGATTTTATTTCTGTTCAGACTGATACACATGATGGTGCTTTGTTTGCTCTTTGATTGTTTCTAACGTCTTTGTTCATGCTTCCTCAACTGACACCCCGAGTCTTAAATAAAGGTTTGATGCTCAGCAAGCTACAATTACTGTTTTTGTCAATGGGGCCAGGATATTTTAGAGAGCACACATCAGGTCAGGTCTCCGTCAGAAAGGGCCGTCTGTTTGGCTGCTTTCACACCTGCCCTGTTTGGTTCAATCCAATCATACTCAAATTCGTTTGCCCCCTCAGTGTGGTTCGTTTGTGCAGGTGTGAACACAGCAAAACAACCGGACTGAGACCTTCTTGAAGAGGTGGTCTCGGTCCGGTTCCAAAGGAACTCTGGTGCGGTTGGTTTGTGGTGAGAAGGTGTTGCGACCTGGATGTGAAGCAACTGCAGTCACATGACACATTGTTTGGGTTAAACATGAGCATGTTACAGTCCTGGAGGATTATTAATGTGCACCTCCTCCTGTACTGCCTTAATATGCACATTCAGCACATCCAATGCATCAAAACATTGTTTTCTAGTTGGAGCCGCGCCTCGTTTTCAAACTGTATGGTTTGACTAAAATGAACAATGACAGCAATATAGTCCACGATGAGCAGCGCTAAAATCAACCTGCGTAGTTGTCCCTCCATTGTGACATTAGAAAGTGTCACATTTATCTTGCAAGTGTACTCTTCTTCAACGTTTGCTTTACTTCCTGGATTTTTCCCACATGGAAATTCTGACCAATCAAGAGCAGCTTTCTCACACAAGGCATTTGATCTGGTCCTCTTGTAAATGCTGCCGTGAGAACACGAACCAACTCTAGGCAATTATACAACTTTGGAACAACATGAGTCCCTGATTCAGACCAGAGGAGACGACTCTAGGGCTGACAGAGACTTGGATTATACTGCACGAGTGCGAGAGTCTGTAAATGAATGTTTGATGTAGTTTAGCTGTTGTTAAACGTGGACCCCTACGACTTCAATTCATCAAGAATTTTCTTAGTTTTTGGATTCTTAGTTCACCACAGAGACGTGCGAGAAAAACAAAGGTTTCTTCATGAATGTGTCATGACACAGGGCGAGTAACTGACGAACAAGTGATCATTTGGAGGGTGAAGTATCTCTTTAATGTTGTCATTTAGTTGAGTTGTTTTGTGGACTCTGTTTCTGAATTGGCACATTTCTTCATGCAAAATCAAATTGTTTTGTGTTTTATTTATTTGCAGCATACTTTGCCACATGTGCTGATTGTATTATTCAGGTTTCTGAAATCAGGATATATTTACATGTAAATGACACTAACACACACACACAGGGATCCTCCAAAATCACAACCAGAACACAAGTCCACATGTGAACTACTAAAATATTATTCATGTTTTGTCAGGACATTAATGACAGCAGCTACAGAGCCACGTCGTTTCCAACTTATTCAAACCAAACCTCATCACCTGCTTCACTCTGTAGTTGCTTCAGTGCTGTCGGTCCACGTGGCTCTTAAATTCTCAAGGAGTCACCGATGCTCCAAAAATCAACCCAAAATCACTCAGAGTGCGTTTTATTCCCACGCTGATTACACACCCGGTCTCTGACGAGATCTCAGAGTTAAAACATAAACTTTTTATCTCTCAGAATTCATAATGAAACCGTTTCTCCAAAATCTGAACTGTTCTTTTCACCTCTGTCATTTAGAGCCCGTCTCCTCTGCCCACCAAACACTTAGCGCTCTTATTGCTGTTCACATTAGACTCATGCTGGAACATTTGCTGCTCGTCTGTAATGAGCGGTCAAAGAAGAAGAAGAAGAAGAAGAGGCAGAGAGAAGGACGAGCCGGGCTCATACGATGGCAAATTGCCACAGATTGCTGAATCCTTGACGCCAAAATATTCTCTGGTCTGAGTTGGAAATGTGCAAATGAGAAGGCAATGAATATTTAACAACTCATAATAAAACGTCTAGACACCGCTCCGTCTCGAGCCGTGCTCATAGAGAGGCACATTTCTTTTTCATTATGAATCATTTTCACCCTTCACTTATTTTTATTTTTTTGCAGTAATGAAGACGTTGAGAAAAATGGAGAGGAACACATTAAGGAACTCGTCTTCAGAGCAAGAGAGGTTTCCAACAAATATTCACAGCTAAATGAAAAATAAAAAGTGATTAAAGCTGATTTACCATCGTGATTCCTAAACTCCAGATGTCAGACTTGACGTTGTAGCCTTTCTGGTTCGTCTCCGGGTTGATCCGCTCTGGCTGCGGGACACAAGCAAATGTGATGTCACTTATGGCAGCGGTTGTCAGGGACGACCTGCATGCCTCCCCGTCATCCTAAACTTCTTGTACACACACGGGCCACTATGTTCCCTGATTGTAACTGGCCCTAAAAGCCACTCAGCCAATCAGCAGCAGGGCAGTTAAAATGTAACTAAATGTGTGGATGATAATGAGACAGAGAAGTGAACCTGTTCATCTGCCGACTGACGAGCCAGGCCTCAGATACAAAAAGGCTTTTCATGTACAAGGTTTGTCCTCATGGTGAAATATGACCAAAGTTATGAGATGTAAATGTGATTTTAGACTCTCTGATTTTTCTCTCGTTCTCTGGACACTTAATCATCCAGAGCAAAGATCCAAATATCTGAATGAAACAAAACCACTGGATAAAGTTTTTTCTGCTAAAGCTAAAAGATCATTCACTTTTTTTTCCACTTGGGAGTTCCAGTGACGAGACGTGAACACAACATGGACATATTACCAATATCTAAAGGTTCTGTATGTCATTTTTTGACATGTATTAATCGCGTTTTATTACCAATGAATGAACAAACTGTAACGTAATTTAAACTCTGAGACCTTCCTGACTTTCTCGGGTTGCCTTAAAGGGATAGTGCACCCAAAAATGTAAATGCAGCCATTATCTACTCACCCATATGCCGAGGGAGGCTCAGGTGAAGTTTTAGAGTCCTCACATCACTTGCAGAGATCCAAGGGGAGAGGAGGTAGCAACACAACTCCACCTAATGGAGGCTGACGGCGCCCCAGATTCAAACGTCCAAAAACACATCATTGAAACCACAAAATATCTCCATACTGCTCGTCCGTAGTGATCCAAGTGTCCTGAAGCCCCGACATAAAAAGTTGTTTGGAAAAACCTCATTTGAACTCTGTTTTTAGCCTCATTGTAGCCTGTAGCTCTGACTGCCTCTCTGGGCACCGAGCTCACGTGTGTGCGCTTGCGTTGTATTTTTCAAACAACTTTTTATGTCGGGGCTTCAGGACACTTGGATCACTACGGACGAGCAGTATGGAGATATTTTGTGGTTTCAATTCTGTAAATTTTGGACGTTTGAATCTGGGGCGCCGTCAGCCTCCATTAGGTGGAGTTGTGTTGCTACCTCCTCTCCCCTTGGATCTCTGCAAGTGATGTGAGGACTCTAAAACTTCACCTGAGCCTCCCTCGGCATATGGGTGAGTAGATAATGGCTGAATTTTCAGTTTTGGGTGCACTATCCCTTTAAACAGCCTGTGACTGATTTCTACGTGAAGGATTTGTCGTAACTTTCCGGGAAAATCAAAAGGATGTGACATTTCTCTCTTTTTTCTGAGCACCTTGTCACTCTTCAGCTTTACTACAGCGCTAACAGTGTGCAACAGAAGCTAATGTTAACTAAGAAATTGAGTCTGCTGATGTCAATGAACAAGTGGCACCCACTACAACACAGAGTTCACGTAAGCTCTGTTAACATTGCGTACATTTTGCAGCGACGGCTCAGAGACGGACCTTCACTTAAGACCCATTTCCACCAAACAGTCTGATACGGTTCGGTTCAGTTCAGTTCGCTTTTTCCCCGTTCCCACAGTGAAAGTTGTGGATGGTACCAACAGAAGCGTTCCTTAGCGTCCCCATGTTTGGTCCCCCCTCTGTTGGGGTACCTAGCACACAGATCTGGTACTAAAAGGTGGAGCTAGAAACCCTGCAGTCTGATTGGTCAGTAGAGGACGCTCACTCTGGTTTTATGTAACCTCTGTTCATACATCAGTAAACTACAACTATAAAATGAAAGAGAAAAAATCACTTCATTCACTGGGCCGACTGCCGGCAACTTTTAAGGTGGAACGTTAACTTGTAATGTTACTCAATGCATGAGTTGATGACGTGAATCCATCAGCACACCTTAAATTTCACTGTGACAACTTTGACCATCACTTTAGTTTTTATATGACACACACTTTTAGTAATGACTTTAAAAATATAGATGAATTTGGAGCGGATTATGTGAAGGTCATATATTCTAATCCTCACTTCCTGTGGGCTACAGCAACACTAAACCCCTGAGCTTGCCTGAGAAGGACTAAATGCACAAAGCTGCTATTTTTAAATATCCCATGGAGAGAGACTCTCACTGCAGCCTGTTCTATTTTGTTGTGAAAATGTGGGCGTGCAGCCTCGTTCTGTGGACGATAAACCAGGTGCAGACTTCCATCTGTGTCACCGCTGATGAGGAAATACAGCGAGTGCTGGACGGAGCAGTGAGTGACAACAACCCCGCCCACATTTAAGAGGACTGTCTGAACACACCGAGGGTCTAGGTACCATGTCTGAAGGGTCACTGCTGGTTCCAAAGGGACTGGACTGAAAGGGTTTTGTGGAGACGGGGATTTAACGGCCTCAGAGAGAGGTCACTGATGACAATGGTGTTTTGGAAGTTACATGAAGAACCTTTGAACACCTTACAATCAGGGTGCAAGATGATCCACTATCTAAAGTCATGTTTGTGTTCACCTGAATGTCACCAGCTTCTCTCCAACTGTGTCAGTCTGCTGCTGAGCAGGTAGTGTACTACAGTGGGTTTTACAGCACTGTGAGAGCAGTGAGAGTAACCAGAACAGTAAAGTTGTGGGCTGGACGGATGAACAATGAGCTCCTTTGACATGTCACATGCTTTAAAAAGAAGCTTCAGGTTTGTCACTACAACAGTTATAATTTGGTGTCTTCGTGCGTACCGCCATGTAGGGTTTGCAGCCAGCGTCCATGGTTTTGGCCACAGAGTCGACCAGGTAGCCGCTGATGCCGAAGTCACACATCTTCACCTGGCCCTGAGTGTTGATCAGCACGTTGGAGGGCTTCACATCTGCAGAGACAGACAGAGACAGACAGACGACATGACGAGCAGCAGTTTGAGTTGGTGTGCAGCCTCTTCATGGTCTCTTACAGAACAGCAGTCACAGTCTGCGGTCGCTGACACAGACCGACTGCTGTTGTCACTTATAATTTTTCTTAACGATGACATGACGTCGTGATGCAACAGGAGACACACAGTGGTCGCGGCCGGGCCAATGAGGTTTGACACAGGAAGCATTAACCCTTAAAGGACCATAATTATAACCGTGGCTATAACAGAGTGCAAGTTGAAGCTCCGTGGCTACAAATGATGTGTTCTTAATGTCTGCTTACTGTGTTCAAATAATGCTGCACTGTTTGGATGTGATGTGATATGGATGTAATGTTTCTGTCGTTTCAGGCAGTAATTTATGTCCATTTCTGTCTATATGGTGTGAGAAACCTGCCTGAGTTGTGTAATCCATGGGCTGAACACCTGATCGCTGCAGGATTATGCAGTTTAAAGGAAATTCAATTCGAGCATGGGTCTTATCTTCGTCGATTTATCCATCATCTCTGTCATCACCTTTTCAAAGCTAAGCCTATTTTATAGGCCTCTGCTCGAAAACTGCATATCCATAATGAAATGAATATATCTCTGCAACCACAAGGTCTATTTGAATACTTTTGGTGTCATGGTAAAGGGAACACTTGTGAGTTTTTTTAAGATGTGTAAATATCAGTGTATGTGTTATATGTGAAGAGTAAATGAAGATGGCACACAGCACAAATGAAATATTTTGAGGTTCGCCTAAAAAAAAATAAAAAGCATTTTCAGGATGAGTATCTGTTTGGAATGATGCAGCTCGATCACATCATAGTACAATATGTGAACATTAACTCTGCAAAGGTTAACTCTGATAAAGTGAAGCAGAACAATCAAAGAGAGGTTTTAGTACAGAAAATTCAGGCGAGCTCTCCAAAACTGCTCCATGTTTGCATGTGATTTTTGTCATGTACAATCCTATATCTTTCATGTTTTGTTTCTGTAAATCCCTGCTGATGTTTAGGATAAACACATACAACTGTCTGTTTCGTTTTTTCCTCTATTTCCCACTCCAAACTGACCAATATGCACCTACTACATTTGAACATTTGAGTTTCTATTCTGAGCTTTGGAGGCCCGTATCTCCGCGACGGCTCGGCCGTTATTATTTTTTTTTAATTTAATTTTATATACTTTATTAATCCCCGAGGGGAAATTCAATTTTTCACTCTGTTGTCAATTACACACAGGTCCGAACACACACATGCACAAACTGGACCTATACATGCACTAAGTGGAGAGATGTCAGAGTGGGCTGCCCATGACAGGCGCTCCAAGCGGTTGTGGGGTTCGGTGCCTTGCTCAGGGGCACCTCGGCAGTGCCCAGGAGGTGAACTGGCACCTCTCCAGCTACCAGTCCACGCTCCATATTTTTGGTCCGGACGGGGACTTGAACAGGCGACCCTCCGGTTCCCAACCCAAGTCCCTATGGACTGAGCTACTGCCGCCCATGTATACCCATGTTGGCTGCTGTGAGTGGTCATTTTTATGATTCCCCTGGAACCTCCGGCCATCAAGTTTTCCACCCGGATTCATTTGAATGACGGACAACATGTCAGTAAACAGGAATGAAGCGTGATTTAACGGCAGAATGCGCTTTTCATGGCAAAAACAAGGTAAGAGAGATATTACAAATATATTTTGGCAAAAAGATTTCTGTTGTTGTTGTTCTTCGGCCTGGAGCTCTCTGATGGTTTGAGTGCTTTGGCGCAATGTGTGGAAACGGCCGAGTCTCAGCTTTTATTTGAGATGAACGGCGTGTGTTTTGCATAATGTGTGGTTGAGTTAGAGCCCGAAATATACCGAGTGGGTCGGGATATCGGTGCTGTATGGAGTTGGATTTGTTGTTGTTTATTTAGTTGTTGTTTGAGCTGTGTTTGGGGAATGTAAAAAGGGTTTTAACAGCCGTGTAGTCCAGGTCCTGCTGTTTAATTTGATGTGCAACATCACTATATTCTTCGTGATCAGTGCATTGTTTCACACTGTGTTTGCAAAGTCGCTCCCCCAATTGGAGGATTTTTGGATTCACCAAAGTCACACAATAACACAAACTAACTGATGGAGGCAGCAGTAGACCAGCAGCTCCTGTGTTCAGTGAGCTGAAATGACTGTTTTTCTCAGTGGAGTCTGGCTTTGATGAGAGCATAGACAGGGAACTGAAGCCATAAGTGACGGAAAGGTACAGCTTCAGTTCCCCATCTATGCTCTCCTCAAAGTCACCATACTCCATTGAGAAAAACAGTAATTTTATGCTGAACGCAGGAGCTGCTGGTCGACTGCTGCCTCCATCAGTTAGTTAGTTTGTTGGTATTATTGTGTGACTTTGAATCTGAAGTAACCCTTTAAAACACAAGTCACACACTAACACTGACTAACTGATGCAGGCAGCAGCAGACCAGCAGCTCCTGTGTTCAGCATTAAATGACTGTATTTCTCAATGGAGACTGGCTTTGACAAGAGAATACATTACAACTTCAGTTACCCATTGAAAATCACTGTGTGGCTGCAGGGTGAAGCAGTGAAAATATTCTAAATATGGTGTCTACTTCAACTGATATTGATTTTTGTAAGTGGCTAAAAAATGTGTTGCTGCTGACCCCGTCCACTGCAGGACACTGCTTAGCATCTGTGGTGCTTCTCCAAACTGGAGGCATGTTGACCGCAATCTACTGTAGGTAATACACTGACTCTGGATGTATACTGTACCTTATAAAACCCCAACTCAAAAATCTTAACTATTCCTTTAATGGCTTTGTCTTTGGCCACTTGGAGGCAGATCAACCTTTAAACTGATCGTCAACTGATGAACTTCTGTACCTACACTTAATATTTTGAGTGCACAAGTGCGTTCACACTGAGAAGTATGGAAAATGCAGTGCACTGTGAGTACCCGGATGGTGCACTCAAGAAGTTGAGTGTGGAACTATGGACACTTCTCTCCCTCAATGGTCGCCATCTTGGCTACGTAGCGGAAGGGGAGGGGCCATTTTAATAAAACTCTGCTAATGCATTTCAAAAACATCAGAACGGCTCGTCCTTCATAATCCAAGTGCCCTGAAGCGCGCAAGACTAGCTGATGGCTAGTGGTGGTGCTAATTCTCGAGTCTTACACAAGTTGCCATGTAAACACAGCACTCCTGCAGGGCAGGCTAACTGACCACGGTGAGAAATGATGCTATAAAAGTGGAGTAAATTACGTCTTTTCAAGTCAGTTTTGCATGCCTTGGCTTCAGGGCACTTGGATTACGATGGATGAGCCTTTCTGATGTTTTTGAAATGCATTATCAGAGTTTTATTACATTTTCAAAATGTGGGTTCTGTGCACTTCAAGTGTAGCTGTTATCCTCTGATACCCCGAACGAGTTTTGTGGATTAAAAAAATCACACTGGACTTCTTGTCGGCATGAGGATCAGTAAGTACTGTCTGTATTTTCATTCTAAAGTGGACATTTCCTTTAAAGGTTGTTTCACAAATGTGTATTATTGAATTTGTGCTCATATAAAAAACGTAAAGCTGTTCATTTATTTCTTTATATAGTAGATTTGTGTTTCCCTGGAACAAAAGAAGAATAAACAACAACAAAAACAAATGAAACACAAATATAAAAATACTGGTATCGGCAAAATTGTTATTCAGAACCACTGGTATCAGCATCTGTCCAGAATTATAAAATGATGCATCCATAGTTCACATGGAAAGTTGATTTGTACTTTATTTTTTTTGTTTAACAATGCCATATATTATTTTATTGTTTATTCTTCTGAACTAGTTAATTTGCATTTTGTTTTATTGATTATTGATTTATATGATCATTATAACATGCACAGCACATATTTTTATCTAATTTTTTGTTGTTAGTCAGGTTGTTAATTTGCATTTTGGTAACTAATGTGCCCACATGTGCTGGGGTCGCCACTGCTGAAAGGTCAGACGAAAAAGAGATTTAAATTTGTATTTGACTTTAACGAGCTAACACATGCTAAACAGCGGGATGGTCCTTTAATGAGACGCAGATGGAGTGATGGTAAAGACGGCGTCTCGGTGCAGCTGAGTGATGATGACGCAGCACAGACATGGATATTGACACTGTCTTGTCTCTGAGGTTTAATGGGTTCCCACTCAGGCTCTTACCTCTGTGTATGACTTGCAGATTACTGTGCAGATGCTCCAAAGCTTTTACTATCTGTAATAACAAAGCCCATTAATAAGCAGATGAGAGGGAGGCAGGAGGTCAATCACAATTCAGCTTTTTAAATCGTTGGCGTGATGCTGTTCGAAGTGAAGGAACCCACTGAGACGGCGATCTTTCCCAGGATGTCCTCGGGGATGGTCATGCCCTTCTCGATCACCTGCTTGTAGAACTTGTCGAGGGACGTGTCCATCAGCTCCATGCAGATCCAGACGTCGCCCTGGCAACAGACAGGCACATTTGGAAAGAGATCAGGAAAGAAATGGCAACAAAGCAGCAGGACGCGCTCCAGACGGGAAGTGACAGATTTTCCAGTGTTTACAGTCACGGCGAGGAAATCCTGAACATCCACTCTCTGCTGCAGGAAGTCGTCTGCATCCGAAAGTCTTCATTGACGCACGCTGCTGGTTTTAGTGTTGCTGAACGTCAACACGGAGATTTTGACTATAACTCAACTGAGTCACTGTCAGATACTGGATGATGTCGGCTTATCACAGATGTGCTAAATCAGAGTGTCAGACACTTTAATTTGATGATTTTTAGACTTTTTCGAGACAAATTTCAACCGAATTTAAGACTCACTTTTGGACATATCATGTTTTTCTTATCTAAACATTACAGGGAAGTATAAAGGTAAGTAGTATATATGTAGTCCCATGCAGAGGCAGGGTTTATGTAGGAATATGGTTATTAGATTGAGTTATATTTTGCCAACAGGAAAGTGGGAGGTTAAAAGATTTGTAACACCAGAGATGGGATGGGACCTTTCACACAGAACTGCTTCACTCATTGTGACAAAAAAAAAAGGAAATAAAGAAAATGAATTTAGATAAATTCAAATTTCAGACAATTTAATGACTGTTGAGGCCTAATATTTGAATTTTTGCATTTTCAAGCACCTGTAGACGCCCTGTAATATCCGCATAAACACTGGCAGGTATGAAAAATAATCTGCAGTGCAGTAAAAATAAAAACATAAACTTACATTAAACAAAGTGGGAAAATGTCAGTAAAACATACACAAAAAAATGCATCACTAAATAATCTACAAGCTGCATTTATACATTTATTGAACTCTCACTTTTCTCAATAAAAAATTATATTTATTGTTTTATTTATAATCATTATTTAAGATTTCATTTCCACTAAGATTTGCTGCCATCTGATGATAAAGTTAACGGTTCAACCGGACAATTTATCTCCTCAACAACCCTCAATATAAGCCATGTGTTTCGGAGCCTCTCTTAGTGATGCCACTCGTCTGTCTCACAGGTCGGCCGGTCACGATAACTACTTTTGTTGGATGATATATTGCCCCAGGAATATTTGTCAAATAATGATATTACTGTAATTTTGAGACCATTTTATGCCACCTATAATTATAATATAATAGCATTATAATGCAAGAACTTCCTTTCAAAGAGCAGTGAACTTTCTTTAGAATATTCACTGGAATAAAAATATGAGAAAAATATTTAACACATTTTTAAAAAGAAAAGTAATAAACACCTGATAATATATAAGAGACAGTATAATTAAAATGACAATACTTTAGTAGGAGTAGCCCAACCAAGTGATGCCTCTTGTGACTAATAACAAGCTTGGTGAACCGTAATCCCACCGGTGTGCTGCAGTCAGCTGCCGGGGATGGACGGCCTCAGAGCGGGACAGTTTGCTGGTGGATTTATGTAGTGAAGGATGAAGTTGTTGGAGGGGTGTGTTATATCATCTTGTTATATCCCAGTATATTTTTCAACATAATGTGAAAAATGATACCAGGGTTTTCCCTGGGTTTTTTGGAGACAGAGGAGGCAAAGGCCTGTGGCGGGGGGCATCTTGACAGCTGTACTTTAGATACGCTCCTCTGTTAAATATGAAAGGAGGCCCTCACATGCTTGAGCTTTACACTGCTGACTTGTATCATCAGAACAGACATGTCCTGTGATTTTCAGCCTTCTGTGATTATATTAACCCTTTACAGCAGGCACATCCTGACAGCTGAGAATATTACTGTCAGGTATTGTCCCCCCTCACAGGACATGTTTGTTCTGATGATACAAGTCAGCGGTCCTGAAATGTGTGTTTCTCTTCTATAATACACATTCTACATCTCGGAGGCGACGTCTTTCCACATACGGGCTTCCTTTGCCTTTCAAATGGGGCAGAGCTCCTTGGGAAACACTAGGCGAGACACAGCCTGAGGGGGAACCGGGATCTGACACAACACCGGAGGGAGAAGCAGGTCCGTGGAGCTGTGTGCCGGATGACAAAACAAGGGCGTCACACCAAATGTGCATCGCTTTGGGTTGTGAGCGCGCATGACGTGCATCTACATTGAAAGTAATGGGTTTGTGCGTGCAAAAAGACGCTACATCTGAACGCCCCCCATGCACACACACATTTTGTTACAATTCTATGTTCTTAAATTAATGATTTGTATATATATTTTTTTACTAATTTGTCATATTGTAAAGAACATCGTTATTGCCAAAATACCCTGAAATACTGTGATATTATTTTGGGGCCATATCGCCTTAATGTGTTTATATTTGTGGTGATTTATTGCTATCACATTTATGTAATTTCTAAAAATCAGTATCAGTATCAGCCACAAAAATCCAGTATCCATCAGTACGGTTGGACGTTGTCTGACATTTTTTTTTTACTAATGCAGCAACAAAACAGAGTTTCAGTTTGCTGTCATAACAATTTTGATTTTATAACTTTTAGAAATCAGAATATTTTTCCTACAAAACTAATTTTTTCTGTTAACAAAAGCAGCCACACGACTCGTCTAAATAAAAACTTTAAAATTCTTAAATAAAGATCCAAATCATAACCAATCAGCAAAAAGACTGTGAATGTGAGCCGACGTTCAAGGCTAACTTCTGGTGCTACAGACTAGGGATGGGCAACACAAGCAAAAACACTATTCACATTCACATCGCGGGGATTCTTCACGGACATTTTTACAGGAAACTACAACGCGGAAGTGCGCTCGACTATGAAAGCCCGAATGACTGCGGACATTCCTCACGGAGTAGTAGTCTCTGCATGTTTCTCCTGTTTGTAGAAGAGCATCTCACACTGCTGTAGCAATCCTAGACTGCCCTCGTGCGGTTAGGAGCTGAATTGCATGTCAAATAAAGGGGGGGGAAATAAGACGGCAAATAGTAATAGTTGCATTAAAAAAGCAATTTTTCAAAAATAAAACGACTATTCAAAAAACGAAAATCATGACCCATCCCTACTACAGACACACTTCAGCTGTATTATAAACATATTGTGTTTTCCCGCACCGCTCAGACGTTCAGGCTGTAATTACACTACAGACACACATGTGCAGGTGTGTAAACATCTGTACAACATGTTACCTCTCTGAACAGCGCTCCGTAGAAAGTGACTGTGTAGAAACAGTCCACCGTCCTCATGGAGATGTCCAGGTCCATCAGCAGCCTCTTCTGCTCCTGAGTGTTCACTGTGGCCCGAATCCGCTGATGATGGAGGACGACAAGAGACGACACACAACCCTTACTCATGTTTATGTCTTCATGTCTTTATGCCTTTCTGTTTAAGTGAACAAACACTGCACAGCTTTCAAGATGTTCTTCTTGTGACTTGACTTTCTTTTGAAGAGACGGAGGAGGCTGTTAGTTCTTGCTGGTTAATGTGAAAACGACCTTGAAGATTCTTTCATTCACAAACAAAACACACTCAGTTTAAAAGCATGAGAGAGTTCTGTGAATGCAGAAGTCGACCGTCCTCTGGTGGTGACTCACCTTCACAGCCATAATCAGGTCACTGGGCACGTGCCTCATCTTCTCCACCACGCCGTACGCTCCTCGGCCGAGCTCGCAGATCTGCTCCAGGTCATCTGCCTTCACCTCGAAGTTCTGCTCCGGAGACGAGGACAGATGAGAGGAGGACACAAGCGTGATCAACAATCATTGCAGCTGTGCTAACACAACCTAAAGGAGGACAACAGAACTTTCCAACCTGGACCCAATATTTTCGTGTTCAAGTGACTCGTGGGAACGCCAGTTTTTGAAATGCCTCAGCTTGTTATTATAAGTGTCTGACCACACTATGGAGAGGATCCCTCAGAGAAATTAAACCTCTTTCTGAACCTTTGCTTGTTCTGGTCTGTTTTGTCTCCCAGTCTCACTAAAGGAGAGGTCTCGTTCTGAAATTGAGGACTTTTTCCCAATGTCTAAATCAGCTAAATGTTCAGCCATGACACTGAAAATCTTTTAGGTAACACTGAGATACACTTCCTTTACTCCAACACCTCAAAGTATTTCCACCACTCCTCACTCATGTTTCCACTGTTTTCTGCTTGCAACAAGTCACCCCTCCTGAGATTTCAGAACCAACCTTCTCCTTTACCGAGACTTGAGTCCCTGTCCCACTGCACAATAAAACCGGCTAACATTTGACTTTTGTATTTAATAGGAAAAGATACAACTGGAAAAACAATACTGGACACAAAAGAGAAAGGAACAAAAGGCATGGGCACGGGAAGGTGGGTGCTGCGGGTGACACAGAACACACTACTGATAACGGTTAGAACAACACAGTCTGTAAATGGTTCAGAATTTCACCATAACTTATAAACCATCTGAACTAAGGCTGGAAATTAGCAGTAACAAAATGCTGATAAAATTTACAAGTGGCTGCTCGATATGTTTCATTCACCAGCCTAAACACCAACGATAATCTACTGAATCTACATGAAATCACATTTGCAGGTCTCTGTCATTGTTATCTTTATAGATATGTCCTTTTGTTGTCTTATCTTACTATATAATGACAAAAACTCTGTGTGTGTGTTTCACGTTTTTCTCCTCACTGACTTGGTCAATCCATGTGAAATTTGGCACAGTGGTAGAGGGTCATGGGAGGATGCCAATGAAGCAATATTACATCAATTGGCCAAAGGGGGGCGCTATAGCAACCCATTGAAATGTCAAACTTTGAATGGGCATATCTCATGCCCCGTATGTTGTAGAGACATGAAACTTTGCACAGAGATGCCTCTCCTCATGAGGAACACATTTGCCTCAAGAACCCATAACTTCCGCTTATATAGATTTTCCGCCATTTTGAATTTTTTGAAAAACACTTCAAATGGATCTCTTCCTAGGAAGTTTGAGCGATCTGCATGAAACTGGGTGAACATAATCTAGGGACCAATATCTAAAGTTCCCTCTTGGCAAAAGTTGGAAAACTTACTAAAACTGAGCTTCTATAAGGCAATGAATATTGCGGAGGGCGTGGCTCATCACATAAAGGTGTATAACATCTCAAGGGTTTCACCCATCACCACGCAACTTTGTAGGCATATGACCACACATAATCTGAGGGGACCCCTCCATTATTGACCCCATCAAACAAAATGGGGGCGCTAGAGAGCTCATTTCTTATCTAGGCCTAACCGCCATATGGATTTTTACTAAACTTGGTAGATATGTAGAACAGGACGCCTCAAGGTGACTGGAGAAATTTAACTCTAATTGGCAACTGGGTGGCGCTATAACAACAGAAAAATGCTTCAAAATGGCTAAAATGTGACCGATCTCTGTGGCTCCCCCTGTGGACCAATGTTGGTGTTGTTTTCTAATTTTTGGTATGACTAAGTCATGGTATGGTATGCTGTACTCAGTGGGTATGGACTAGTTTGAAATATATATATATATATTTTCACCTAATTAATATTCCTATTATCACTATACTGGTAGTCATCAGTTACTTGAATGCGCTGTCATCCATCATCGTGGCTTCTGACAGTTAATGTGTCGTATCGTCCACTGAGCAGAGGACTGTGGGTCAGAACAGCCCAAAAAGCATGCTGGCTTACAGACTGCAAAATCGGACTAGATGTAGTAGAACATTCTGGTAGTTTTGGCACACTGCATTTGACATACTCTGTATTGGGACATACTAAATCTTTCTCTGGCGCACTAAATAGTGTGGTCATACGTGCTCATTTATACTGTGCAGCAACCCTCAGCAGAAGTATGTTTCCATGCACATGAGCAAAAGGTCCAGTAAAAGTTTCCTTTGCATAATGTTGTCAGACACTCACAGGAACAATCTGAGCCTGTCAGTGGCAAATTAAACACTTTTGACGGTGCGCCCCGAGTGGTGACGCTGCAGCCTGTCGCTCTCGCTCAATACTGGACCAGTTTCAATGACTGTTGTTCCCACGAGTCCCTTAGACACAGGATCATGGGAAAATAGAGTCCAGGTTAAAAAAGCACTGGAGTTCCCCTTTAACACAGGAAGAGAGATTAGAGAGTAGAACCAGGTGCTGGTATCTCTCCTCTCTGTTTTAAGAAGCTTTGAAGTCTGAATGAGCGTCTCCTCCTCAGAGCTGCGTCTCCTCCTCAGAGCTGCGTCTCCTCCTCAGAGCTGCGTCTCCTCCTCAGAGCTGCACGATGCTAAACTTAATTTCTTTGACATTAGTGAAGCAAACACAAGAAATCATTCACTTTGACTTGGGGCCAACTCGAGCACAGAAAAAGCAGGCATCTCTGCCAATGGAAAATTCCACTTATTTCATGAGTTCAAAATAAATATTTTTACTGCCTGATGGGCAATAAAAGGCATTCCAGTCTCGCCACAATCAGAAGTGTTCAATTCGGCCGTAATGTTCACCGGGCCGTTCTTTATAGCTAACAGAGCCTGTACTGAGCAGCCAACCTCTGTGGACCTTACTCACCCAAAAATACACTGGGAGAAGGAAAAAGAGTAAACAGAGAGGAGTTACGTAAGAGTCCGAGGTAGGAGAGAAAAAATCATAATGAATGGGATCAGGAAGGAGGCGAAGATCAAAGTCAATATGATCCCAAAAAATAAAATTACCTTCTCTCCGATGGTTACGCAAGCCTTTGAATCCAAATCTCTTGGGGGTCTGAAACACACACACACACATTTAATTACTTACATAAGCTGGGGAGCAGTGTCTTCTGGGAAAAAAAACCTAACAAAATAAAATACAAAAAAACACCACTTATTTATATAAATAATTTTCATTTCATTAGATGTATTTGAACTTTTCATGCATTTTTAATCGTTGAAACACAAACAAATTAAAAAAAATTAAAAAATAAAACTTAAAAACAAATAAAACATTTTCTAAAGTAAATAAATTATAAAATCTAAATAAGAAACATATTTTACAGATCTGGGCAACCTTAAATAGATAACTTAAATTGTATGAAATCATCTGATGAAAACACATTAAAATAAATATTCATTAATATAAATAATGAAAACATTTAATTAGATATATTTGAACTTTTTATGTTTTTTTTGTTGAAAACACAAACAAAAAAAAAAAAATAACAAAAACAAATAAAGTAAAACATTTTCTAAAATAAATAAATTATAAAAATTAAATAAGATCAAAGAATATCTTTTTACAAAATTTTGCACCTTAATATACATCACTTCAATTATATTAAATCGTCTGGCACGATTAAGTTTGCATCCATCAACATTCTCATTGTTTTTTTTTTAATTTTTAATTTTTCTTATTTCAATTTTTTCTTTTTATATATATATATATATATATATATTTAATTCTCCTCGTTTCCTCTTTTTCATTTCATTTTATACCATCAATTATAACCGTTATTATACTTTGTATGTGTGTGTAGAGGGTTGTATGTTCTGTACAATATCATTGTAAAACAATATATACAATTTAATAAAAAAAAGTATTAATCCAAAATATTTGGATTATTAAAATGACAGAATTAAAAATGAATAAATAAAAAAAATGAAATAAATTTTAAAAAATTAAATTAAATAAGATAAAATCAAATCAAAAATAAAATAAAATAAATCATGCGCTCTTGTGTATGTATTATGAGAATTATAATCACCATTCAAATATTTTACGACAAAAAGTAGTTCAAGTTAAAACAAGTGTCGTTTTTTATGCATTATTTATATTTCATGTTGTTTGTGTGAAGAATAAAAAATACTTAAAAAGAAAAAAAGCAACTGAAATTTAAAAATAAATAAAATGAAAATGTAATTAAAAAAAATATATAAAAAAATATGACTGTAATAAAGGCGCAGATTTACACACAGTGTCTGACACTGACGTTTCATATGAAGTTGGCCTGAAACCAAAACGCCTCTGCTGCTGCTGCAGTTTCTCAATGAAGATGATTCACTTTAAGACGAACTGAACATTTAGTTTCTCTGCAGCTCAGAAACATTTTGGGTTCTGCTGCTCCACAAACAGTCTGAGCTTCACGTTAACAAGGAGACCACGCTCATGGAGGAGGAATGCCGTGCACAAATAACTGAAACTGCAAATGTCAGGGGAGCGATGTGACGAAATTAACACTTTTATATTCACGTTACAACACATGAGACATGCCGACGTCCTCATTATAGGAAATGTGGGAGAAATGATGACATGAGCATCATTTAACTTTTGTCTCCTGCTGACTGCTGTTTGTCAGATTTTCATTTCAGACGTTCAGCATTCTTCTGAAGCAACAAACAGGAGGATGAATTAAAGACCTTGGATGTGACTGTAAACACAGTGAGGAGACTTACACTGCGGCGGGAGGAGGCTGCTCAAACACCTCCTTGGGGAGCTTGAGCAATGGCTTCCTCTTACCTGAAACACACAAAACACACAACGTCATTAGAAACCCTCGACAGACATTTGTGTCAGACCATGTGTGAGCCATTTGACTGATAGAGCATTTAATTCACACATTCCTGTGTCCAAAAACAGTCCAACTCATTTTTCACAAAACTTTGGTTTAATCGCTACTAATGTGAACAGCAATTAGCAAATTATTGATTCATTCAACTCATCAATTAATTTAGAAAATGTGAGAAAACAGTGAAAAATGCTCGTCATAAGTTTCCAGAGCTGACGAGACGTCTTCAAACCAACTGTCCAAAACTCAAAGACCAGTGTTGGGGAAGCTGGAAGAAGCTGAACTACAGCAAAGCTACCTGCAGGATGACATCTAGTTTGGTTCACTTAACCCACTGGTTCCCAATTTGGGGTCCTGACCCCCACTAGGGGTCACCAAAGCTTAGCAGGGGGTTGTAAGGCTTTCTTGATTTTAAAGGGTTTGAGAAAACTTCGTGAAAATATTCAAAGTGAGCCTTTGTCTCAGCCTGTTTCATTTATTTCTGTTGAGAAGACTAAATTAAATTGTTATTTTTTAAGTTTAGATTATTATTCAGGATATAAACCTAAAATACGTCTCAAAGGTTTGGGGCACGGTGAACACATGAACACATGACCACAGGTTACTTTCAATCTCTGCTCAGCAGCCTCGTCTGTATTTAGAGTTTAAACAGTTAAACAAAGAGGTGACAGAAGAATGGCCGACAGTCAGGGAGAAGAAAACACTAAGAATATTATTCAGAGGAAGATTTATCATCAACATTTTATTGAACTTTTTTTCTGACATAGTGTCAGCGAGAGTTAATAAATCAAATATATGTACGTACACAAGAAGGAAAAAACTCACAATAACTAAATAAAATAGTAATATAGAAATGCATAAATAACAATACATAAGTAATTCTTAAAAAAAAGTCCTAGATAAATATCCACTATTAGATTATCTCGCAGCAAAAAAAACTTGAATTTGCAGCCAATTTTGTCAAAAATTGCGGCTTTCTTTTCTTTTTTTTGAAACATATTTTTAGGGGGCATTTTGCCTTTAATGGGCAGGACAGGTAAGCATGAAAGGGGGAGATAGAGTGAGGGGATGACATGCAGCAAAGGGCCACAGGCTGGACTCAAACCCGGACTGCTGTGGCAACAGCCTTGTACATGGGGCGCCTGCTCTATCCACCATGCCACCGACGCCCCAAAATTGCGGCATTTTTATGTGATTTTTTTGCAGGATATTGCAGCTAATGACAAAAGGAGAAAAAAAAGTGTTGTTTTTTTTTTTTAAATGACTGCCTCCAAAAAAATAAGTCATGTAGTCACTTGCTATAATAATCATACTGAATATTACAAAAATAGCTGCAAATGTTTTTTATAGTTCTCTTCTTTAGTTTTATTTAATTCGTTTCAAAACATGGACTCCAATAACGTTGCAAAATATCCTGAGTGAATATTGTCGCTCTCAAATCAGACAATGTGACTGTACAACAACATGTCAGCTACATCTTCTGTAAACATAACATTTAATACATTCAACACTTATTGTCTGTTTTTACACAGTGCACATTCTTATGTCTCTCCATACTGCAATGCCATTAGCACATTAGCACACGTTTCACATGACGTCACATGCGCGACGACTTCTGGTTGGCCGGAAAATGCGGAAAAATCGTGGGACTTTTAAAAAACTGCAAGCCCCCGCAAATATCGCGGACTTTTGTTGAATTTGCGTTAATTATTGGGATTGCAATATTGTGATTTTCTGGAGGGACTGACTTATGTTGCTTCCTGTCTCGGCCAGAACACTATTGAAAAAGAGATTTTTAATCTCAAGAGGTTTTTCTGGTTAAATAAAGGTAAATAAAAAATAAAAAAAATAATCTGGATCCTCGAGACAAACCGAATCATCTTATCAGGTGATCTGATTCCACTCGAATCCCATATTAAATCAACAAATCTGAACGATTTTAAAAAACAAAAGCTGTGCAACATTTAATACTGAAACAGTGCTGAAACATTAGGACTGACATTTAAAGAATTAGGCCTCCAACTGACGACTGTCTCCCTTTTAGACGATCATCGATTTGTCAGTAAAATGTCACAAAACTGTAAAAACTGCTCATCACAATTTCTCAGATCCAAAGTGACATTTTTAAAATACCTTTTTTTGTCTGACCAAAACTCAAAACACAAACACATTTTCTCTCATAAAAGTTGAAATACAATGCAAATTTCTGCAGGATGATTTTCTGTGTAACGCAGCAGCATCTCATTTGTGCAGATATCTGGCAGACTGATGAGAGTCCAGAGAGGACGGTCTCACTGGCAGCCCAGCATACCACAAGATGAAAGCATACTTAACTTCTTAACACGGCTCAGGATGAGAGATCAGTTGATCACAGTGGTCAACCTTTAACTCTCCTCTTTCCCTTCGGCTGCAGCAGAGTGTGCAGCACTTAAACCTCATCACTAAAACTTCACACCAGTTTCCAGACGGGCAGCTAAATCTGAGACGAACACAAATCCATTTAAGGAAAACGTCAATCAAACCTTGAGAATATTTTGAGTGATTCAGAGCTGCTTTTTTTTTTTTTTTACGAGGCAGATTTGTGCTGAATAACTGGCTGCATGCATCTACATCTGATGACTCCCTGCTTCTGTCCGGAGCTTGCAGCAGCCATCCAGCACTTAAAAAACTCCCACTGGTGTAAAATGAGTCAAACTTCCTGCAGCCATCACTCCAAACAAAGACCGACACTTCTTATGTATCACGTCCAGGCTACGAGTCCTGAATTTCCTGTTGATATAGCAACTGCAGCAGCGACCGAGACTCCATCTCATCTTTAGACACTTACGGTTGGATGCAGTAAGTGACTCCAGATCCTAATTGAATGGAACAGGCGCTGAGAGCAAGAATAAGAAGAAGAAGAAGAAGAAGAAGAAGAAGAAGAAGAGGAGGAGGAGGAGGTCTGGCAGCTCAGGTGTGCTCGCTCCATCTGGAGGTGCTGCACTGATGGTTTAATGGCTGGGCGCCTTGTTAATGGGGCGTCACAGGTTGAGGGTGTGACTGTGTGTGTGTGTGTGTGTGTGTGTGTGTGTGTGTGTGTGTGTGTCTCCAGACAGCATCTGGCTCAAACCACCTCAGACTGGGTTGAACTGCTACCAGCCTGTCAGCTGCAGTAAACGTGCACGCAGCTCTGTTCTGACAAAGCTGACTCCAGGACAGGCAGCCATGTTGCCTCTGATGCACAACAACTTGTGCTTTTTCTTTGAGTGTGTGTGTGTGTGTGTGTGTGGGTGTGTGTGTGTGTGTGTGAGAGACGCTCCAAGCAGCTGACGCACAAAGTTTTAAGGTAATAGTTAAGGTCACCACACCGTGCGCCGCCCTGTGATGTCATATGGTGCTATTTAAAAAAAAAAAAAAAAAAAAGTAAAGGTGTGTCTTCTTTAAAAGATGTGGAGCCGCTCCAGAAGAGTAACTGGAATTTCTCACATTGCTGTCTTGTGAGAAAATACAAACACATGTAGCTGTGGACAGATCTGTCAGTCAAACAACTATCCTGAAGGCATATCACACACACACACACACACACACACACACACACACAGTGCAGTGCGTCCAGTGTGTCCTGGTTTGTTCAAACAGTGCAGGGTGTGACAGCGCTGTGCTATGCGGCCCTCCACCGGTGGCCTCTTGCTGCCTGCCTCCTGGTCTCCACTTTCCAAAGCAGCTTTGTTGCACTAAAATGTCAGTTTGAGCCCCTCCTACATGCATTTACACAGACAACAATAGTAACTGGAAACCAGCTCTGTGCTAACACACACACTGGAAACCAGGAAACACCCAGAGACAGAGAGACAGAGAGCACCTGCACAGTCCTCTCAGTGAGTTACAGACAGTTTTTATGTGCATGTTAATCTGCACCAACACACTGCACACACTGATAGAAACTAATGCTGATTGGCTGCTGATGTTTAAGGGAGGTCTTGACATATCTGCAACAAGCTACTTTCTGCTATGTCTCGCTCTCATTCACAAATCTTCTTCCAAAATCTAAACCAAACTGCAACAAATCCAAGCGGCTCATTTAGATCAGACTGTCTGCAGCCTGACGACTTTCACTTTCACATCAGTGTTGCACAAGCAGAGTCCAATGTTCACTGTGGCCTCACAGCTGATGGGAGACGGACACAAGTGCTGAAGCACATAACCAAGGATATTAATATAAAGGATGCTGTTCAGTATTTGTAGGAACCAGGCGACCGCACACAGCTGCCAGCCTGCTGCTGAAAACAGCTCCCGACTGACCAGAGAGGTCACAAAAAAAATTCCTGATGTCTCAGTGACTGAGGGTGCTGTCAGTCGTCTTCAAGTCAAGTTCAACTTAATTCTCATTTCCACATACAGAGTACATGGGAACCAAATTACGCTTTCTCCCAACACCAAGGTGCCGTCATACACATGCAAATATCACACATATATACATACATGTGTGCATATATACATATTCAGATAAATAAAAGCATATGTCAAATGTAAGGATAGTTCCAGCAGAGCCCTGGTGTTGCTTTGTTCTCTTGAGCTTGTGTCAACCACAGACCTTATTTCAGGCATCTAACCAAAAACCGAGACGAGAGAAACAGGAGTGCTAAAATGCTAACTTATAGAGTCCGCTAGGAACGAGCTGGTTCCCTTGTCTTGAACATTTGCGTGGGTGGTAGCGTACACTTCTTTCAGGTCGATGACTAATCGACTATTAAAATAATCGGTGACAATTTTAGTAGTCGACTAATCGGTTTGAGTCATTTTTCATAGAAAAGTACTATAAAAGTACCCAAAATACTCTCAGATTCTTACGTTCAAATATTGGCAGCTTTACACACTCTCCCATGACGGTGAACTAAAACCCTTTGGCGTGAGTACGAAACAAGACATTAGATGACATCGGTTTGGGAGAGACAGACCGACATTTTTTAAC